GGATTTTCCTTCCACGGGAGAAAAACACTGGCGTTTCATTTCCCTGCATCTAATTTTCATTACATTTCAACAACCGCACGGAATTAATTCATCAGTTAATTGAGACGAGGCCACAGGATTCCCTCACCACAACCCCCCCCACACACAAACCGTGCGACCAAGACAACTTCATTCGGCTGCATTCATGTAAATAGGAAGCCAGTACACTTCAGCAATGTTACAATCCCCCCCCCCCCCCCCCAAGCCCTCTTTACCTCAGATCCTAACCTGAGGCACTTAATGCAGTTTACTGGAACACCAAGGAATGGTTCCAATTACACCGCTAGACCTACTTGCAAGCCTCCCTATTGCAAACTTTTGTTATTTGGCCACAAATTTGGTACCATGTTCCAACTAGAATTACTTCAACAGAGAATACATTTTAAGACTGTTACAAAGTACCTTAATGGGGGGGCAGGATCTTAAATCTAATTGCCACATTATTGTTAGCGTTCCATCACCACTGCCATTTCACGGTGGAAGCGATTTCCCACACAAGCTCACTGAAATGAGCCTCACCAGAGTACTGATGTTAATAATAATAATAATCCTTGCATTTGACATAGCATCTTATCATGTCTTCGAGACGTCTCAAAGGACTTCACAGAATATACTGTAAAGTGAATTGACTGTATTTTTTGTGGGCGAAACGAGACAGCCAATTGCACACAGCAGCGTCCCACAAACAGTCATGGATTGAGTGAACAATATATTGTTATTATTTTTTGAAAGAATTATTATCCCCGGAAAGCAATCCGCCAATCAACTAACAGCTGGATTCCTACTTACTGCTAGGTAAACAGAGGCGTGTGGATTAAGAAAACTTGCCCAACGTTTCGCCCTTAGGTCTCTCGCTTGTGAGGCGAGTGCTCTAAACATTGAGCTACAGGACTCATGTTGGTAACAATTGGCACAGTGGCAGATTTCTAGGAGTTGGGTATGGGTGGCATGATCGAACTGCGTTGGAAATTGAACGACAGGCGGGTTAAACCTGAAAGATTCAGCCCCCCAGTGGAGGGCTTCAGATTGGCCCCTGAATTCCTGCTTGCAGGGGCACTAGTCCGTGATTATTCAGTCATGGTTTTACTTATTTAGGTTCATTAACATTCTGGTCTTTGGCAGCTTCCAAAAAAAATGAAACATTGCCAGACCTCACACTGTGTCAAAATCAATCCCATGGTTGTTGGTTCTCACCTCCCCTGCTATAGGAGGGACCATTAACGTGATATTAAACATGTGCGAAAGGGAGCCTGTGTCAGCTGGATGGATGATCCGGGTGAGGAAAAAGGTACTGCAATTGGTCTCAGCACCGGAGAAGAACAAAGAAATGAGTATTTCAGCCAGGGTTCCCGCTTCTAATCTCTATCCAGGCTTCTAATCTCTATCCAGTGTCCGCTGTGTGCACACACACCCAGGTCAGGCTTGGATACCCTCTGAGAGGGCGCAACAACTATTTATGGGAGTAGATCTCTTTACAGAGGCAATTAGGAGCCTGACAGAGGAAGGAAAGATTACCAAATGCTCAGCAAAAAGGTAAGCCATTACCAAGATATTCACCCATAAAATACGCAGTCATATTACTTTATAGAGTATCCAGTACACAGTAAGATGTCTCAACGACGTGATAAGACGTTATACCAAATGCAAGGATTATTATTGATGTATTAAAGTGTCATCCTACCCTGCGTGTTTTTTTCTTACAATTAATTTTTATTTTCTGTTGAGTGTCGAGAGTAACAATGTCTGGTACTAGTAAGTTTCTCATCACTCCATCCACGTTATATAAGATGTCGCACCAAACATGGCGACGGGTCATTATCTGCCATGAAAATGATGTCGCTCACACCAATCCTCTGGAAGTCTAAATACAGTTGAACATTTGCACTGAATACAATTAAGTACATCTAAATACAATAATCATCATTCTTCCACGTTTCAGTCATTGGTCCCTGCTTGCCAGCCTTCCCAATTCTTGCTTCCACAAGCTGCAGGTCATTCAGAACTCTGCAGCTCATGTCCTCTCCCACACCGGGCTCTGTGACCCCAACCCCAACCTCGCCTGGCTCCACATTTCCCAGAGGATAAGAGCTCAAAACCCTTACTCTTGCTTTCAAGGCCCTCCGCAGCCTTGCTCCTTTCTATCTCTGTGACCCTCTACTGCCATTGACTTGCCCGCTCCCGCCGCTCACCGGCCTGCTCCATGTCCCCTGCCCTGCCCTCCCTACCATCAGCGGTCGGGCCTTCAGCCTCCCTACCATCACCCTTTGGAACTCCATCCCACAGTCCCTTCACCTTGCTTCCTCCCTTGTCTCCTTCAAGGTACGTCTCA